CTGGAAGGCCACTGTCCTGCAGAGTTTAGCTCCAACCCCAATTAAACCCATTTGAAACAGCTAATCAAGGTCTTGCTTGACATACTAGAAACTTCCAGGCATGTGTGTTGAGGCAAGTTGGATCTAAACTCTGCAGGACAGTGGCCCACCAGGATTGAGTTTGGACACCCCTGCCTTAAGGTATAACTATGACCCAATGGGGGTGCAATAACAGTAGTGGTACCCTGAAGGCTGTTTTCCACAGACATGGTTGGGGTGCGGGTTCTGGGCTAGTCCCAATTCCCGAACCGCTCAGCGTGATTCCAGTACATGAATTTCGGGTTTTCGTCCGGGAAGATTGGTTCAACTCTGACCCTGACAACTTGCTGATCTTGAATGCTGGAATCACTCTGGAACTGGAAAAAACTAAATATAACTGCCTGCACAAACAACAGGATGTGCAGTGTTTGTTTTCACATTGGTTACAGTCAGGTAAACAACACAAAGCAGCATTACTTCATCGTTTGTGTCTCAAGTCAGTGGAAACACACACAGCGGTTTGTGACAAGCTCCAGTTTGCCTGGCCAAGAACAGGCTCTGGTACCCGAATACAAAGAGGTATATGTGATCACAAATAGACATCCAATTGTACCCGATTTTGCTGGGATGTTGATTCAGGAACATATAAACTTCCAGTTTCACTTTCTCAAGCAGCTCTTCAAAGTTTGGAGTTCAATTTTGTATAATATGATTGAGCTGCATAACTGATGGGAATCGTGAGTTTCAGATGATTATATTTATTATGCCATTGTTTTGTGTTATTTGAAGATTTCCTCCTAGGAATGTTGTCAAAACACTGTGTCCCCAAAAACAGGCAGATGCAGTCATTGTGGCAGCATGAATGGCAATCAAATGGGATACACAAGCAGCAGTGATGTGTAGCTCGTGGAAACCCAAACAGAAGATGTAGTATGATAAGAGATGATGCTGATTGTGTAACTGAAAACTCCATGTCTCCACAAGCTGTGACCTCACCGGTTTTTGCTCTGCAGGGCAAGGGAACAAATTGAGATTATTTAGTTTGTGGACTTATGAGGAATATTTGAATTTGGAGCAATTTATGCTGTGTGTTAAACTCGAAGGGGAGGCATTTCACAGAAAACAGGATTTTCAAGTCATGTCAAGGTTTATTTATCAAAAGCACACAGCATGTTGTAATTGTTGGCAATGCAATGTTGTAAGCTAAGATGATTTGTCTTTGCTTGAGCATGGATTTTCCTTGCTTATTTGAAATAAAAGAGCTGTATGGAGATACTTTCAGAAATTTGAACTTCCTCCCTGGTCAAACCAGACAGATTTTTTTCCACCTGTAAAAAAAAATAATAAAAAAAATTGTGAGATAAAGTTTAAAATACATAGATGAAAGAAAAGTTGCAATTGCAAGCTATAAAGGATCATTGATGGGCAAAGTCTCAATTACGAGAAACAAAGTTATGATTTTAAGATATAAAGTCACTTTTCAAGTTACAAAGCTTCCAGTTACTATACATAAACTTGCAATTGTGAGAAATAAAGTTGCAATTACGTGAAATAAATTAGCAATGGCAAGTTTCAAAGTAGCATTGCAAGATATATATAGGGCCTCATTTATAAAATGTTGTGCAGAAGCCATCCTAAATTTGATCTTACGATCATCTCTGAAATATGCGTGCGTGTGATTCATAAAATGAACGTATGCACAGAAAACGCATGTACGTCTCTCTTTCAGATGTAAAATCCATGAACCGCAAATGATCGTGAACTTGCGCGCAACTGAATGGTTTCAGCTCTCTGTCTTGTAAACAACTCCTAATTAATGCCATTGACATATAAAAGATCACCAGTCATCGTCCAAATTCTTTAATTTAGAACAGTGTGCTGCAAGAACAGCTTACATTTCCAAAAACCTGCAGTACTCCGACAAGAAAAAGTACGTACGTCCGCTCAGACCCTGACGTGACGCTAAGCACATTTCCAC